TTATAGTCATAGTCATGGTGAGTGATGGTCATGATAATAGTGGTAGTTACAAATGTAGTCATAGGTTATAGTCATAGTCATGGTGAGTCATGGTGATGATAATAATGGTAGTTACAAATGTAGTCATAGGTTATAGTCATAGTCATGGTGAGTGATGGTCATGATAATAATGGTAGTTCAGTGGTTATAGTGTAATTAAGCTTCTCCAATATATCCAATGCCGTAATACGCCTATAACACGTCCACTTTATCATTTAACAAACACGTTTTAAATGGGTTTGAGCGTTATATCATCACCCATAATAAAAAATGGCGCCCAGTATTTTGGATCCTTATACGTGTTTCTCATCTCGTTCATTGTCAGCTGTAGACTCGTACTGGCACTTTTCCCATTTTTCAGATTGCCGTAAAACGATGTCATAAAGTCGAGTGTTGCATCGTCATCGATGGCCCACAGAGACGCTACCTCTGCACGAGCACCTGACGCTAGAAAGGCTCGACACATGCTAACTACTCCTTCAGCTCTGATTTCACCTCGTCCACTGTGACAGCAGCTTAACACAACTAACTGAGCACGTACTTGAGCCTTCTGTACATCAGCCATGGTCAGCATGTAATCTTCTTCATCTGGGATCTTTGTTGCTCTTACCTCAGGAGAAGCTGCAAGTAGTATCCTACCTTTAGTGAGACTGCCGTGTGCAGCAATGTGAACGACAGATACTCCTTGTCGCAGCCTCTCTAGAACGGCTGGCTTTGTAGCCATGTCTCCCAATAATGGAGGGGTATTAAGTAACACAGAAATCTCTGCGGCTTCTCCTAATGCACCTGGCAAACGTGGAATATCACATTCTTTTCCATTCATCATTACCTTCCCAACCAAAGGATTACCAATAATCAAAGGCTTGCCATCGCTGGTTTGGTCTGTTGGAAAGTCTTCAAAGTGCTTTAAAGTCGCTAATGAAGGAGCAAGTCTAATGCGCTTTGTCTCTGATAAATACTTTCCCGTGCGAGGATCTCGTAAAGCGGGAAAAGGCACTTTGTATAAGGGACCATCGGGAATAATAACAACCTCGTCTTGCTTCGACGATAGTATTCTATCACACTCTAAGATATCAAATAGATCTTCTAGAGTAGATCCCTTGGTTTCAGTACTATTCCCATTAGATTCTCCTGTGTTAGAATTGAGGTTCAGCAGTAATGCCGTTGCTTGATTAAGTTCCTCGTGTTCTTCTATACATCTTCTTCGTTCTTTTTGAATATCTTCTTCTTTGTCCAAGGACCTGTTCTCACAGTCAACTACCTCACGAACACCCATTTCGTCAAACAACCTATCGACGTCTATCTGTAGGGAATCATTAAGACAAAATGAATAATGCAAATTTGTCTCCCCTCCAAGAAAATACTTCAGAAAAGCATTAAAAGGAAGTGAGTAAAAGGCAATGCTGAAGTCATTTCTTGAGACCAGAGACAAAACATCGTTGTACTCTAGGTGTTCATCATTGCTCTTCTCTTGTTCCATCTTAAAGTTTGACATCATAAGATCTTTCAATGCTCTTGCACGACAACGATCTAACACTAAAAGCGCTTCCTCGATGCGTTTGCCATTGATTAACAGTATTGCCAACGGCTTATAACTATCAATATATTGGTCAAATATGGAGATCTTGAATTCATCAAGACTACCAAGTGCGGTAAAGATCGCTTCAAAGCATCTCATAGCTTTCCTTAGATACTGTTCTGCCAAGTTCAGTTTTCTGTCTAATATATATAGTAATTGACCAAAGCCATGATAGAATTGGGATAGGTACCCATCAGTATCAGGACAAGACTCAGCAGTAGTTAGCCCTTGTTTGAAACTGTGTAAAGCCATGTCATTCTGACCCATCAACTGATACAAGTTTCCGACTTCTGTGAAACAGAACAAGTTCACAGAACGATCCAAGTCCATTTCTTTTAACTGCTCAAGGCAATTGATGCTTTTTTCATATTCTTTTTTGGAAAGATAAGAATTGTAAAGCCTGATAAAAGCCCTATGTTTCTTTGTTTTATCGCATGTCTTCACCGCTTGGTCAAGATCTTGTAATAGCTCATCTTCAGAACATGATGGTACCTCTAATAATTCCTTTACTGAGGGTGCATCACACTTGTCAAACAAACCAACTCTCAAATAAAGACTAGAACGAAATTCTTTGAACTTTTCTGTAGCTTCTTTGTCTCCAAGGTCTGAAGCAATCATCATGCCTGCATCTATACTCTGAAACATTTCATTCAACTGCAACGAGTCTATATATGCTCTAGTGTGTAAAAGATGTCCGTACATCTGAGTCTTTTTATGGCCAATTTCTTGAGAGATGTCCAGGCATTTCTTACCGTATCGGATGGCATTATCGATGCTTTTCTCATCCTCTGATATCAGGTAATAAAACGAAAGACCGAGACATGCTTGTGCTTCCATCATTTTCCCGCCTGTTTCTTGTGCCATGTCCATGCATTTCTTGGCATAATACAATGCATCATTGTACTGTTTCAGTGTCTGATATATCTCTCCTATACGCAAACACGCTTTTGCCACTGCATTCTTTTCGCAGCCAATACGGTTCACGATGTCTATACATTGTTTGTAATTCTGAATGGCTTCATCGTATTTCTCCAAACACCGGTATACCTCTCCCAAAGTCAGATACGCATTAACGTCAGCAGTTTTTTCTTCATTATCGTCCTTGTCAATGTGAACACACTTGTTGCAGTTGGAAATCGCATCATCGTATTTCTCCAAGGAATAATATATATCTCCAAGTTCGCTATAAGCATGAGCCTCAGCACGTTTATCGCCAATAGTTATTGCAAGCTCAATACACTTCTTGCAATAGATAATAGCATTGTGATAGTCAGAAAGAGCGTCATATATTCGCCCCATTAATAGGTAAGCCCTGACTTCAACACATCTGTCTTTTATTTCCCTTGCTATTCCAATGCATTTCTGTCCATATTCAGTGGCATCTTGATACTGATTCAAGGCAAGATGTGCTCTTCCTAGATACAAGCACGCATCAATCATACCCTTCTGATTGTTGTTTTTCATGGCGCAATCAAGGAGCTTGTGCGCATAATGAATAGTGTCATCATATTTCTGCATGTCTGTATATGCGAACATTATAAGGTTATATGCCATCATCATGCCTTCAGCACCATCAATTTCCTGGGCAATTTTAAGACATTTTTTGCCACAGTCAATAGCATCATCATAACGATCTAAGAATGATAATGCATGTCCCATTTCATGATGTCCATAGATTTCGTTTTCTTTATCGCTTATAGTTTGAGCAATTTCAATCCATTTCTCAGCGTGCAAGACAACTTTTTCAAACTCGTTGAGCTCCCTATATGTGAAGGACAAATATCTATGAACTATTAACTCATAACATGGTATTGCTGCAGCTAATGGTAATATTTCTTTCAGACACCTCAGGGAATCAGCATATCTACCTATGCTGTTGGTATGCACTACGTACTGCTCGCATGAACTCATCATGGTACTTATATCATTACAGTGTTTAGCCATCTCTATGCATTCTTTGTACAGACAAATCAGCTGTTCAGTTGACAGTCCAAGTTCCTCTGGCAACACGTAGGCCGACGCAAAGCAAAACCTTACAAAAGTAATCTTCTTGAACATATTCATCTTCAGCTTTACTTGTTATTCAACATTCATCTAAAATCAAACAATAAATTGATAATTAAACAAGAACACAAAAGAACGAACGTAGGAATAATAATAACATTTTTAAATATCAAAAATTGAAATAAAGTAAACATTTCTGTATACATCAGTGGCGGATCCAGGAATTATAGAAGGGGGGTTACAAAGGTTTTACCAGGAATACCAGGAAAAGAGTATCAATACCAAGGCCTATTGAGAATCGTGTAGATTGATGGATTGGGTTGGGTTAGGGTTTTTTATGAAGTTTTTATCCTTAACTTTATATTAATAGCTGCTAATTTGATGCTGAAATTCAATAAATCAAGATTCAATTTTTTGTAATAATTGGGAAACATAAGATTGCAAAACATTGACTGGCGACTGACTAGCCTCTCATACGTGTGAAAACACTTTTATGTTTCCACGTGAACACGAGTCTAGTCAGTCGCTAGTCAGTGCAGAACAATAGTTCTTTGAATTGGTCGTCATATTTCGATTCGTTGTATAAGATATTTTTCTGAGACTTTTATGTGGTAAAGACATATGGAATGTTTTTCAAGTGTAACAGTTTCCATATTTACTTGAACATTTTTATCTATCTTGTGATATTCTTGTTTCATAAATCCTTCTCAAATGTTGATGCTGATAATCAAGTAAAAGCTTCTTGTAGTACCTTATTTTAATGAATTATCATAATTGTCTATGGCCTCTTGGTTCAAATCATTCATACATTCCTTCAGTACATTCTTCATTTTTTTTCAATTCTATGATGCAAATTTATTTATAATTCTTCAAGAGCTTCTTCGTCGCGACAAAAACAATCGCTAATATGTTTAGCTAGCCAAAATAAGGAATGTCATTTTATGTAAAAGACATTGTCCATTGAGAAAAGGTGAATTAACTAAAAAGTTTAACTATTAAAACTAGAACTTTCTTTCACATTTTGCACCTTGAATTTTCGCTCCGCCTCAACGTTCAGGTCCCCAACAGACAATAG